GCCGATAAGTTTTGAAGCTTGAGTCATGAACAATAAAACTTATCGGTTAAATTTTTTAAAATGATATAATTTTTTTTGTTTTAGTATTTGAAGTTGACCAATTGTTACTATAAGCAATTAATGATTATAGATGATCTGCACCGTAGAAGAAAAATTACAGTACCGAGATAGCGCCTCTTCAAATCGTGCTATTTCCCCTACTGGAATTCTGGAATTCCAGTCCTTGCATTGTACTAGTACCGCAAACCCACAGTAGGACCCCGTAATGTCTATCCGAGTATCACCTGGTAACCCACTATAAAATAACAAAAAATAGTACTACTAAGTAATTATTGTTAATGCCATCACAAGAGAAATGAACCCGGTCGAGTCAAAGCCACCACCCTATATGCCCTATTCACTTAGTTTGAAAATAAGAGCAACAAGGAAGGACGTTCACCCTAAACCGCTCGACTCAGCCACGGGGTGGCCACGAAGCGCTTCCAGTTCTCTTGTTGATTACCCTCAAACTAAGCAGCGTAACTTCAGACATAAATGACCAATAAGTACTTAGTAAGAAAAGTCTTACCGAGGACAAAAAAATAACGGTTTGTTGTTTGCAAAAGGTTATGGACACGAAATTCAAATTGTTCGCCTAATTCAGTATTGGACGATTGTAATCGGGACATAGTGATAATAATAAAAGTAATAAAAATAGAAATCGCGTAAAGAGAATAAAAATCGCGTAGAGATAAACAACGAATGGAGTAAACAAACCTTAATAGGAAATGTAAACAAAAGAGACAAAGTTCTAAAATTAGAGCATAGTAGTCGCAGGACATTCATATGATTGGTCATATATGTTACACTAAATTTGCAATAAATTTTTTTATCGTTTACTATGTACCAAAAGAAAATAATATTAATGAATTGATTTTAATTTATTTTTTTGAGAGAAATATATGTTGTATTTTTTTTTCTTTAATAAAATTATTTAAAACCTTGTTGATCTATGTTTCAACTAAATTCTTGCATGTAGAAATTTATATTTTGCCAAGTAAAACATGAGCTTAATTGATCTATTTCACATTTAACCACTTATAAAAAACGTACAAGTTTTCTCTTCCATGTTTACCAAGTAGTATATTTTTATTTTTTATTTATTGTATTTATCTAATAAAAAATAAATGAATATATATTATTATACAAAATTGTTAACAGTAATTATAAAACAACTAACTGCTACTACTGCCTTTTGACATCCGTGTATAGTATTGTTGTTGATATAAACATTATATCTCATAAATGAAGTAAAAGTAGTTAGCGAAAAATCTCTTGGAAATATATAATAAATAGTATAAATTTTCCACACTTTAAATTTGAAATTCTTGGATGTCCGTGTATAATATTGTTATTGATATACGTATTAAATATCTCATAAATGAAGTAAAGTAGTTAGTTTAAAAATCTCTTGGAAATATATAATAAATAGTATAAATTTTGCGCACCTTATATATTAATAAATTTGACAGCTGTGTGTAGCAGTTTAAACAAATTGCATCGTTTCTTGAACATAACCTGGAAAAGTATTTATTTAGTGTTGTGAAAATGAAATTATGTGAAATTTAAATTAGCCAATCAACAAATAGATTTCCAAACCCCAGCCCATTAAGAATTTCATTTTCATTTTCACATACAACATTAGTATGGTCTTTAAAAAGAACATTTCCAGTTACCTTTCCCCAGTTGGTTGACTGTCTTCGACATATAGTAATTGCACACAATCTAGTAATAGTAGTAGTTGGTGGAATTTTCGCTTCTAAGTAAAAGTATATGAGGTTTATGATTCTTTTTTGATTCTTTTGCACAGTGAATATTGTTCTTATGAAGCAAATTGTGAAAAAAATTTGTATTTTTTATTTATGGTAATATTGGGCCCTTAAAAAGTAAAAAGTACTTTAAACTGTATATACTTGCTGCCCAAACTCAAAAGGCCAAGTCCCAATCCCAAATCCCAAATCCCATGCCCAAATCCCAATGTCAAAAGTGGTACAAATCCCAAAGCTGTCCCAAATCCCAAAACTGTCCCAAATCCCAAAGCTGTCCCAAATCCCAAAATGGACAATAGTACTATATACAGATCAAAGCAACAGATATATTCTTTTATTGTCTCATAAAACACATTGAAGCAAGTAGAAACGCTTGACAAATAAAAACACTTGATACAGCAATAATGATGATGATAAAATAGGATTATCAAAAGTTCCAAATTATGTAAAAATGTGTCTCAGGTATCAGGAAATTCAATATGTAAATTTGGCAAGGATCCTATATATAGTCATATTGTTGTTATACAACATATACTTTCAAAAAGGCCCTTAAAAACTTTGTAATTTCACGCACCCTCTTTATATTGATGTGGTTTGGGGTTTACCGTAACATAGAAATCTCAATAACGTGATCATGATCTTGATCTGTTTATGATATATTAATATATGCTGAGCTATTCGGATTTATTCAATTTGTTGAAATTGATTTTTAATTTTTGGAACTTTTTTGCCTTTAGCTTTATCCTGAAGTTCTCCAGTAGTATTTTCACTTTGGGAGATATTCTCCTTATTTTTCCTCATTTAAATGTCTTAATTGCTGTTTCAGTTTAGCAATATCATTCTCTAATTGTTTGCTCTTCTCTTTTTTCTTTTTGTTCTCTAAATCATTTTTTTGTCTTCTTTGGTTCTAATTAATCAACCTAGTAAACACCAATTGATAAAACGCCTATTAATGACTAATTTTCTTTTAATATCAAGTTGACGAAACCAATCTTGGATCTATCAATATTAATTTCTTTGGTAATCAAGTTATCATGATTTTCAAATCAGCAATTTTGTTTCAGTAACTGAAGAAGTGTTGACCACATGGTGTTTTTGTAGCAATTAACTCTTGCTCTTTGGCAATAGCTCCCTGCTCTAAACTAAGTTTACATTCTTTCACTAATTCCTTGGGTTAACTAAGTGATTTTTTTGGAATTTAACATCATCACATTCCTTAATTGCTGCTTATAATTATCAGTGTATTTTTTGCTTGATCTAAACTGGTTTTGGGAGTTTTTAATCAGTTAAATTGTCAAAGAAGTATCAGTAATGTTTAGATCATTATTACAAAGTATTTGGCTCTGAATTAGCTAGTTCAACTCATTGGTGTATATATGATCAGCAGACAAGCTTTAACTATATAGCAATCTTTGAAAGAAGTCTGTTACATGAATTCATTTTTGTTTGAAAATATTAAATAAATATCACCAAGTTAATAAATTTGCTTGATACAACTTTCTAATTCATCCAGTGATATATAGTTGTAAAAAATTAATTGAAATTAATACTTTTCTATAAACATATTCTAAAATAAATATTTAAAGCTTGGAAATTAGAACTTACTATTGCATTTATTATTATTATGTAAAAAAAATTAAGTCCAAAGATTGAAATTGTGCATGTTATCCAATTACTTAATTTATTATTATTATAGAACTTATAGAACTGGTAGTCCAACTTCATGTTAAGATTATCGCCTAGTTTTATTTGTTTACCCTGGCAAAAAATATATTAAAATAAAGGTT